TTTTAATATTCTGTTTTAGGCTGCTATTCTCTTCTTCTATCATTTGAACTTTTGGTTTTGGGTCTTCCCAATCTCTCTTTCTGTTTGTATATGTTTTGTTCTAATGACTTCTTTTTTTACTTTTGTTTTCTTCTGCATCATAGTTCTGGCTTAATCTATTCCAACTTTTTTCTCTTCTATTCTTGAAACTTTTTCTACTTCTTGGCTTTTTTTTTTTCATTAATCCAGTATACTCAAAAATTGTTGTACATAATTGGTTTTGACTATGCTATCCTCATATCTTTCTCTATTGCGAAAATAATCAGTGCTGTTTGCTTCTGGTTCCCATTTCGGTCTGGTGGAATGTATACTGACTTTGCTCCTTTACTTCTTAAGCATCACAATAATAAGACTTCTGAAGCATTTCCAGGTAGATCTGTTAGTTTGGCTATATGTTTTCTTTGTCTTTCTCTTGCTTCATGGTCTTCTCTTCCTCTTGTTACTATTACCAGCTTATTATTGTCAGCTGATAATAACTATAAAATATCTTCTTTTTCTATGCCTTGTGTTTGTATTACTGCTAAGGTTTTGTACTTAAACCTTTTGATGCATATAATCTGCACATTTTTAATTCTTTTGCAAATATACTCTACTTTTCATTTGTTTATGTTAGCCGGTAGGTTCCATATTGTTAAGTAAGTCACATTGCTACTGAGTCTTTCTTCTTCCTTGTATTCGTCCTCACATGGTTCTTCTCTGTTAATGCCTTCTTTAACCTTCTCTTTTCTAAAACTCAGTGTATGTTTTTCTTCATCTTGTTATTCTTTCTTGTAGTCTTTAGGCTTTTCTTTTTCTCTCTCTTTCTTTTCTTTATCTTCTGGTATCATCTTGTACCAGTTACTCTCTTTTTTGTTAATTCTTTGTATAGCTTCATCTCTGCCGTAATTACAGTCAAAGACTACTTCTACCCACAGATTTCCTCTCTTGAATACTTCATCAATATCTTTTATATATATATTATCCTGTAGAGACTATCTAATAAACTTTATACGTTCTTCTTTTGTTTCTTCAGGGACCTTATATGCTAGTATGTTGGCGATTAGGCTGTTGTTTTGGTTACAATTTCTTCTGTTTGATGCCCATATACTTTGTTCTAATGCTATTCCTACAATGTCGATTTCTTCCTCTGTTTCTTGCTTTCTTCTTTTCTGTCTTTTTCTTTCCTCTTCTAGTGTGTTTTGTCTTGATTGCTTACTATCCATTTCTATATCCTCTTGTTTGCTTATATTTCTTTGCTTCTTGGTTTCTTGTTTCTGAATACTGGGTTCACCTGTCAGTTTGTCATTTCTTTCTATACTTACCTCTCTTCATTCTTTTCTTTGTGATATATTTGTTTCTTCTTGTTTTCCTATATTTCCACTTTCTTCTTCTATATTTCTTTTCCTTTCTTGCTTTCTTTTAATACTCTCTTCTTCATTTTCTTTTGTTGTCACTTGCTGTTCTTTGTTTTAGTTATACTGTATTTGTTCTCCTTCCGTTTCTGTTGTTAGGTCTCGGTTTTTTATATTTAGTTTTTTTTTTGGCTGTTCTTTCTTAGCTTTCTCTAAAATTTCTTTTGTTAGTCGTAAAAGTGCCATCTCATTAGAGTCTTGATTTGTGAGCAATGCAACAATTTTGTCTTTTCTATCTGGTACTGTGTAATGATGCCTGACGAGTGACGAAACCCTCGTCATTGACGAATGACGAAACCACTTCATCAAGTGACTTCCGATTGACGAATTGACGATTGACGAAACCTATGACGATTGACGAAACCTATGACAATTGACGAAACCTATGACGAAACCTGACTGATAAAGTATGCAATATAAAGTTAATTTCCATATTTGAAATACACATTGTTTGGATATGATTGGTTGTACGTGATTATGCGGTCCCATGGGACCGCGAAATTATAAAGCTATAACGATAGGATCTGCAAGGGTAAATACTATTAGCGTAATTATGTATAGCGATAAGGTTGTGTAACAATATAATTTATTAGATCGAACGTAAAAGTTTATTACTAATCATGTTAGTAATTTAGAGTTTATTTATATGATGTAATAGACAAGGGATGTAATTTCATATGACCAAAAATTCAATAAATAGAAGGTTGGATCTTGAGAGATCAAACCTAGACTTTGATTTTCGCAAAATAAACTTGTGCCCTAAGTGAATGTTGAGTGCCGTGCTAATTGAGTAGTGTGGGGACATTGGACAGAAGGTGCCAAGTAGGAAGGTCATTGCGAGATACTGTTGCTGAAGAGTACACTAACGTACTAATAAACTAGGGATGTTATTCTGCTTAAAATGCTCGAAACTGCTTAACGAGATTTGCCCTTTATTTTAATGATTACTTTTTGATATATGCTTAATTAAACTTACTCAAGCCATTTTTAAGAACATATTTTATTAATGATGGTCAATGATTTAGCTCGATTTGAAGTAGATATTACCACTTTTAATGCTCAAAAACTCTGTTTATGAAACCGATTTGCAGAAAACTGCTCAGAAGCAATTACTCATTTCGAGAATGATTTTTTAATTATCTGCTACTAATTAACCTTGTTATTAATATCTTTTCAAATGAAGTTACTTATTACGAAAAAGTGGTCTAACCTTTTTTTAGCGAGGTACTTTGAAAAATAGGTTAGGTTACACGAAGCAGGATAACATCCCTATAATAAACCAATAAATACAAACCGTCTGCTGGAGTTGAATCTCTAAGGATTCATTTACCCCTATGAAACACATGCATACTGATTTTAAACCCATATCGATATGAATAAAGCACAAGTGTTTCAAGAATTAAACCCTGCAAAATGGCGATAATGTACTATTAGTAACGATGAGCCATATACGTAACAAATATATACCTTTTAGAATATGTTTGGTATGCACTACAGTATACGTATATACAAATAAATATATATATGTAAATGTGGCGTAATAATTTAAACTTAAATAGACTCTTAAGCATATAATCTATGGTTAATAAAAGAACTTGCACTTGGTCATATGATTTTTTATCTCTCTTTTTATTTCAGTATTTGCATTAAAGTCATGACATTATTATTATGATTTTTTTTTAAAAAAAATCCATTGATTTCTTTAACAAAATCATTACCTGCAAGAAATATTTATATCAGTCAAATGCAATACAAATTTGCCTTAATGTTTTAGCTGTTGAGGATTGGTTCAACCAACCTTGTTACTTCTTATATTTCAAACCTTTATTTAATGTTAAGTCGGTTTACTATCGAAGCTAAAATGCACATTTTAATTTTCTTGGTAATATTACTAATTTATTTAGACTTTAATGCTATTTGTTAATAATGCTAACCTTTAATTTATTTACCTTCCAGTTATTTATTTTTGTAATACTTTGAAAAAAGTTATCCGATTCACTCATGTCCTACCTATCATTACACAAACATATAGTTCCCGGGCAGTTCTCATTCAAGATCACCAAATAAAAAAAAAATGTATAAATACCTTTTATACGCGTTCTTGTGTTTTTACCTTATATCAAAAAAAATCAACAAAACTTAATATGTCACGAAACAATAAGAAAAAATCTAAAGCACCTGAAACATCACAATTTTTTCATGAAAGAGAGGAGTTGTCAAGTTCTTTGACATCAGAAAATATTACTGATTCAACTGTATCAAATGAGACAAACTCTGGGGGGCGAAATTTATCTCCTGTTTGGAAATATTTTAGTCGAGAAAAGACAAACTCATATGGACATTTTTCAGCAAAATGTGATCTCTGTCCAGCTAAGTGGGCAAGGGGTGAACCGGCAAAACTTGAAGCCCATCTTGCATTGGAATGTCCTAATGTAGAAGATGAGGTTCAGCAATTGTACTTACGTCGTATAGCCTGTCGTGATGATTTAGAAGACTTACAGTTAGAAAACCCAGCCAATTTAAAAAAACGGAAGTTAAGCAATAAGCAACCTAATCTTAAAAGATATTTTCCACAAAAAGCAGATGAAAATTTATCCGAAGAGCGAATAAAATCTATAAACAGCTCATTACTCAAAGCATTTGTAGTTTGTGGTATTTCATTCTCCACAATTGAAAATCCATTCTTTATCGATTTTCTTTATAATTTATGTCCGAATTATCACCCACCTTCAAGAGAAGTTTTATCAGGTCGATTATTGGATCAGGAATATTCTAGAGTTACAATTAAACATGAAGTTATTTTTAATGAATCTGAAAACTTAACTATTAGTATATATTTATTAATTTATTATTAATTTATTATTTATTTTATTATTTATTTTATTTATTAAATTGTTTTTTATAGCTTTAGACGGATGGACGTCACCTAATGGAAACTCTATATATAATTTTATCATTTTGACACCAATGCACAATAAGTTTTTATATTCGCTAAAAGATTTCTCTGCAGATTCCCATACTGCTGAATTTTTTGCAGATAAAATTGACACTATCTTAAATGAAATTGGATGTAATAAATTTGCTGCAATTGTAACAGACAATGCTAGCAATGTTAAGCTTGCACGGCAAATTATTCATCAGAAATACCCAAAGATTTTAAATCTAAATTGTATTGCACATTGTATTAATCTAATATCAAAGGATATTCTTAGTATGTATTATAAAATATGTATATTTAATTAATTAATATTATTAATACAAGTATATGTATATTTTTAGAACATACATTTGCCTTACATCTTATAAAAGAATGCAATGAAATTATAAAGTTTTTTAAGAAATCACATCAACCAAATTCTTATCTACATCAAGCAATATGTGAGTTGCAAATTTCTGGTGGTGGATTAAAAAAATTTGTGGATACAAGATGGACATCTGCATATGAATGTACTTTATCTGTTTGTCGACTTGAACGTGCATTAATTAAAGTAAGATTTTTTTTATTAATATTTTAAATAAATAAATAAATAACTAAAGTTTTATTAATATTTAGATTTTAAATAACAATCCAGACTTAATTACAAATCGAGCTATTAAACAAATTTTAAAGCAACCATATTTTTTTTCAGATCTTAAGATTTTAGTTAAGATCTTATCTCCTATTCGAACTGCAATTACTAATTTGGAAGCACAATCAACAACTCTTGCAGACTGTTTTTTACAATTTATTCAACTAGCAGCTGCTATTAAAAAAATTTCAAACTTACGTGTTAGAAGATTTAAAAATTATTGTATACAAAGTTTTAATAAGAGATGGAGAGGTTTTGACAGAGATACTTACTTGCTAGCATATTTTCTTCATCCAGGCTACCGTGGTATGTCTTATTTTAAAAAATTTTTAATAATTAAATATATATTATTTAAGTTAATATAATTTTTTGCTAGGTACTGGATTACGGGAACATCAATTTGAATTAATTGTAACAACTGCAATTAAAATTTGGCAACAAGAAGGATGTGACAAATATGAATGTGCAAATCTTGTAGCATATATGTGATTATTTTATGAAAAAAAACCTGGATTTGATTTGTCTTATTGTTTTGAAACTGATACTCCTTTACTCTGGTGGCAAACAAATTATAAAGGTTCTAAAACTATTGGACGGCTTGCAATTAAGCTTTTCTCAATCACACCTCATTCAGCAGACTGTGAGAGAACCTTTTCATCATTGGGATGGTTATATGGAAAACGAAGACAAAGACTTTCTTTATCTCGAATCCAAGCTATGGCACAAGTTCGGTCCTATTATATCTCAAATATAAAAAAAGAACTTACTTTTTTTGGTAAAAAATTGGCACTTGATGATTTACAAAAACAAGTAGTATCTGCAACTTTCCTGATTAAAGATAATGACAATATTATTGAAGACTCTGAAGACTCTGAAAATGCTGAAGTCTCTGAAGACTCTGAAATAGAAGAGACTGAATACAATAATTTAGAAATTGTTAAACGGTTTGATATTGAAAACATTGTATGTTTAAGAGATGAAATATTTCAAGATAATGAATTTGATACAGATAGTGAAGAATCACCAGATGGTAGTACTAATAATTCTGATAATTCTGATAATGAGTCTGTGGTTAGTAATAAAACAGGACAAGGTGTATTTGATTTTGATCCTATGAATCTAGCAACAGACTTAATGCAAGAATGGAGTTATGAAAATGATAATAATAGCTTAGATAGAGCAGATAATTGTGCTAATAACAATCCAAATGCTATAGATAAAGAAGATGTCAATGAAAATTCAAGCACTGTAGACAATGATAATGAAAATTCAGAATCTCTGCCTATAGCACTTCGAAAAACTTGTCGTAATAATAAGCAAAATTAGTAATACGGGCCAACTTTGGCATATCATTGGGCGGGTAGGCGGGCAAGTTCCCACACTGTGGGCTGACTCAGCCTAACTTATAAAATTACTAAAGAAATAGCAAGTATCAGAAAGTAGAGTTAGAAATGTAGTAGATGTTATGTAACGTAGTAGAGCAGGGCATTCTAAATGGTTAAAGAGTAAAACTATTATAGATCTTGTATAAAGTGTAACTTAGCTTTTAAATTTGAATAATATACAAACTGTAAAACTTGCTTTGGCTTAGTTTTTTAAATAATTTACCAATTGTCCTAGTTTGACAATTCACATCAAGTTTAGTACATACAAAGATCATTATAGAAAAGGGTATTAAAAGAGTATTAACTGTAACCTTGTTTATGTTATACTGCCAAATCGATTCATTAATTGATATGGATTTCGTCAATTGTCAATGGTTTTGTCAATCGTCAAGGGTTTCGTCAATCGTCAAAGGTTTTGTCAATCGCCAATGGTTTCGTCTGGCGAAACCATGACGAACCTTTCGCCATTGCAAAAATAGTTTTGTCAGGCATCATTAGTACTGTGTATGTTTTGCTCGCCTTATTAAAAAAAATTTTGTTATACACACTATTCATAGTCCAGTATGCTCTTTTTATGAAAAGTGCTTGTAGACTTTCTCTATACTTTACAGAAAGATTTTTGTTCATAATTATGACTCAATTCTTCTAGGATGTTCTATTATGTGTTCATTGTATTTGTTTGTTTGTTTTACAAGTAGCTTGTTTATCCTATTCTATTCTAAAATCTTGCACATGTTTGTTTTGTCCAGACTGTACATGTTGTTTGTGTAATCCAAACAGATCTATGTATAGGGTCACTAGCAATCCCTAAGATTTTTCTTTTTTACTAAAATTTCTACAAAAAACTTTAGTTTTCTTCTATAGCTATCTTATTAACACTTGCAGTGCTTTTTGCTTCTAAGTTTATTTGTTGCTTTCTTTGTTGCTGTTATGTTTTCTTAATGTTGTCAAGAGTGTTATCTATTGCTGTTAGTGCAAAAAGTTGATTTCTTTTTCTACTGATTTTGTGTTCAAGTGATTGTAGGAGAGAGTATATTGATTAAACCTGTTTATTTAATTTTGGATATTTTGTTATAATAAAGCAATCTTTTAAATTATACTATATAATATTTTATATAATGCTATAGATTACAGAATTTTCTCATCTAAATCACTTTATAACAAGAGCAGATTGTGTTAATAAAAATTAAACAAATCATTATCTAATTTTTTTTAAAAAAATTGCTTGATTTTTATTGATTTATCCTATATATTAATGATATTTAAATATTTTATATTGGTTAAATTTAAAAGCCGCATCTTTTTCTTTAACAATACACTTTTATTCTTTTCTTTTTTTGGGAGTTTTTTTTCTTTTTTTTTAATAATTTATGCAGATTGAAAATATTTTATTTATTTAATCTTCTTTAGTTTAAGGAAATTTTATGATCAGCCAAAAGAGTAGTTGCTGTAAAAAGTCGGAGAAAAACTAGCTGATATTGTTAAATAAATGCATTCTATTTAGTCAATAAAAACTCTACATCACTACCCAACACACCAGACTGGCTAATTTCTGATTTATGGATTGGTTCAATACTAATAGTTCAATATTATTTGCTGATTCTGATAGCTCAATAAAATCAACTGATATCACTAGCACCCTAATAAAACAACACATTACTCATAGTAATTTTGAGTCTCTTTCTGATAGTGACTATGAACCTGTAGCTGGTCCAAGCAACTCTTTGCTTAGAACCTATAGTACCCACAGTACTATCCAAAAAAAATTTTTTAAACCTTCATCTACAGGTATAAATTTATTTATCATCATTTAACAAATATTTTTTATTTGTATGCCACAAAGCTAAAATATGCAAATCTTATAAGATTTATATGTTTTAGCTTTGCAGCACTCATTTTAATAATTCAAAATAGTAGAAACTAATACTAATTCTAAATTTGACAAAAAGAATTTGATCAATCAGCAGTGTTTGAAGTAATTGGTAATAAAGGTAAAAAAACAGAGAAAGGTAAAAGTAAAAATAAGCAAATAGAGGTTTCTAAAAAGCTAGAGATTTATATGAAACCAGCCAATTTTTTAGGTAAGCATTGGTTAACTTTTAAAAAATATATATTTTGTTATATAAAATGTCTTGCATATAAACAATTTTAAATAAATTAAATAGAACATATTTAAATTATATGTCTATTCAAAAATCATATTAAAAATTTCTAAAATGTACTTTTTAATATAAGAATCATATATAATGTCTAAATCAGTAAAATTTTAGTTTCTAAATTAGATAGATTTTATAAGTAGAATCAGTTTATTATATATTCTGTGATTATTAATATTAGTAATATCTTAGATTATATTTAAGTAATTATTGATATCAATATTTATTGAATATATAATCAACTAACTTACATATTTTCCCTTTCACTATTTACTCTTATTTATTGATTCAATCTGCAATTCCAATTTAGAAATGACATATATTATTTTAAATCTTAGAATTAGAAGACATAATAGCCTATAGAAGCTTTGCACATATATCCAAAAAGGATATCAGGACTAAAGCTACCATTAGCAATCAAGTATCAGATATAGTTTTAGGTAAATTAAAATAAATGTATTAATTTAAATTGTATTTAAATTATTATTTTTTTTTTATAATTAAAGTTTTTATCTTGAAAATGCTATATTTTATTCAAGTTTTGTTAGGAAACAGAAGCCTTCAGGGGGCTTTCTTATATTGGAGGTTACAACTAGTCACACATGCACTTTTGGTGCCTAATTTAAGTAGTCTGCTTATATATTGCTATATAAGTTCTATACTAGTTGTCATACTTGCAAACCAACTAGAGGTTTGTTTATTTAAACCCTCTGCATATGCAATCCTCCTTGTATCACAAAAACATCTCAAGGCTACACCTATCCAAGTTCCTAATGCTTATCATTACCCTTAGAACTACTTTATTCTTGATAGAAAACTTACTAGAGCCTTTATGTCTCACATATATAGACCTAGTTTTATGCAACATGCTATAGTTATCTAACACTTGCAGTTATAGGAGTTATCTGTTTAACTACTATGTTACACTATTTCTATCCTTGTAAAGTTTACTAGAACCTCAGTACCTATCTTCCTAACATCTTCTCTATCATCTTCTACTAGCCACAACTCAGAACTATTAGTCTCATTCCAAACTACCAATTCAGATGGACCAGTATAGTATACTTATATATCCTTTTCCTCTAGCAAATCTGGCAGCCTGGTTGGTTATATGCTCCTCTACACATATTTGACATCCAGTTTTAATCTTTGGTTTCTATAAAGATGTTTTGTGGGCTTCAACTGGTCCGATAGTACTATCAAAAGTTCATGCTATCTCTTTACTCAGGAATTCTAAGTGAGTTTCTGTCACCTTGGTTCCTTAGTCTTTTATGCCCAATGGTCTTATCATAGGTTTGCACTAAATTCTTATACAATACCAGTTATACATTTCTCTATGTATGTGTAACATTATACTTTGCATAATGTCTAAGCTTTCAATGTCAGTAAGATCTAACTTGGTGTATCTGCGTAATAGCTACATAAGGCCAACCGATCAACAGAAGACAGTTATCATAACACAAATATAATTTCCAAATTTTGTCATAAGTGAGATTTGAACCTTAGACCTGCTACTTGGAAGATGACAACCTAACCACTACACTAGAATCACCATCCTCTTGTATTTAAATTATATTAACTTTGTCTTTTATATATAGATATAGATAGATTAGATCCTGTTAATAATGAAATTGCAGAAATACTGCAGACCTTAGAATACTTTCTTTAGAGGCTATTAGAGTCTAAAGAAGAAGAGAATGAAAGTAAAAATAAATAATAATCGAAAAAGAGAAGAATAATATATATATCAATATATGCCTTTATATATCTTTGTTTTGCTATTACATTAAAGAACTTGTAAAAAGAAGAAAATATATATTACTATATGCTTTTATATATATTTTTAATAACTTTAAACAAATATCCATATAATAAAAAGAAAATATATTAATATAAACTTTTATATACTTTTATTTTGCTTTATTCTATGAAGTTGTTAGATGAATATTAGTAAAATATATATCAATATATGTAAACCTTTATATATATCTATATCTTACTGTGATTTTACTAATATGCAAGACAAATATTAGAATAATAAAAGAAAAAAAAAAGTATATATTTCTTATACTTTTTGTATACTTATATCTTGCTTTGATGCTGACACCTATTAGTTTACTATTATTATTCTTTTTACCTTATCCCTTTATATATAACAGAAGAATAATAGAAAACTAAAGGTATATTATTATATAGCTGATATTTACATTTAATCTTTCTATAATATAAATAACTATTAGTTTACTGATATATTACCCAATATGCATATTAGCTAACTAATAGGACTATGTAGGTATATTCTATTATTTTACTATTATTTATGTATTTGATCTATGATTTATATTTATAAATTATTGAATTTTTAAATTTATTTTATTAATATGAATTAAAATTTAAACAGTACAAAAGTTAAAATAATTTTTTAATAGTATCTAATAAATAATTTCAATTTAGCAATATACATTCATAAAGAAAACTTTAACTAGTCACTATTTATACATATATTAATCTAAAATATAGTAGATTAATAATAAAAATACTCTAATTACTATATTAAGATTACTAAATATTTAGTAAAAATATCCTGACTATATGTGTACAAGTGGAAACTTTGTTTTTGCTAATACCCAATAAATTAGGATATTTTTATTACTAATATCCTGATTTATTAGGAATTAGCAAAAATGAAGTTTCTACTTATTTACATATATGATAAGAGTATTATTTGTTAATTCTTCATGATTTTGATATAGTGATCAAAATTAGTAATATTTTTATATATGCT